AAAAAAATAAAACCTCAATTCGTGGTGGTATCTCATATACGTCATCATGTCCAACTAATGATGTCAAACTATCAATATCAATAAATGGAATATGATGAGTAGTAGCATTAAATGGTGGTTGTTGTTGCTCTGCATCCGGATCCGAAAGTTCCGGTGATACACATGGTGCTGTACTTTCACGTTCCATTACACTGCTTACTTTTGAGCTTAGTTCACTAGTAGTAACAAATGGTTAGTTATTGACTAAAAAAAATTTGGAACAATTATTTGATAAAAATAAAATTTAAAATTTCAGAATTTCATCACAATTGTGAAAGATTGAAAATAGGAACTAACGAATATGCAATGAGAAAGCTTACAAATGACACACAATCCTTTCTTCATTAGGCATATTTTCATCATTAATGCAATCTACTTGAGCATTCCTCAAATTTGAAATGAACGAAAGTGGCCTTTTGATTGAAAATCTTTTACTGTTGCTTGATTCACCACTGATACTATAACATCGTACTCTCATACTACTATCTTTACATCTTGATATTGCAGTATTAAACTTATATACTATCCTTAGATTTTGATATTGTGACATTAAACTTACATACTATCCTTATACCTTAATACTGTATCACACAATCCACATACTGTAACACTGTACGTCATATTATCCATATACTGTAGCGTTGTACCGTCATACTATCCATACACTGTGACGTTATACTGTCATACTACTCTCATACCTTGATACGGTAGCATTACACTTTATACTATCCTTGTACCTCATTGAATATTTCAGCTTTTAAGTTAAAGGATGGAGATTTCATACAGATATACTCTCATCATTAACTCCATTGACAGTATACATTATTTCAAGTTAGATTTAAGTTATATAATAAAAGATTTTAGCAAATATTTCAAAAGTATAACACATATGCTAACCTTTTTGTTACTAAAGGTATTACGGTAGCAGTGATATCAGAAGCGACGGCGGCAGTTACTGTAGTAGATGTTATTCCAACCGAATGAACGGTATTATTATTGGTACTTTGGTGAAATAATTGTTTTACAGGTGCAACTAAAAGTTGCCCCGAATTTATTGCTGCTACGTTTCTGAAATAATACACCCGTATGTACGTACGTATGTATCTCTTAGTATATATCATGGGTAAGGTAAGATTAAGTAACGTTAAAGTAACGTTAAGTTCAAATTTACAAAATATTAAGGGAAGAAATAAATAGATCTGCAACATAAAAATTTTACATAATATTAAGATATATACAGAAATATGACCTTTTGGCATATGAGATATGCATAAACTTATATGCAAATAATTAATTTTAATTAATTATAAAAATCGTACCTGTAAAAGAATAGTCAACAAACTTGGATTATTTCATTGCATAATGAAATGCATAAATATGTTTAGTACAATGTTTGAAAAAATTTTTTTCTTAAAAGTTAAATTTTTTTTTTCAGCAAAACTTATTTTGAAACAATTCAATAAGGAAAAAGGATAGATCGAAATAATTAGCGAAAGAATAAAAGAAAAAGCGAGAAATGATGATTTTCCAAAAGTTAAATGAATAAATGAAATTTTATCGTAATAAATGGATTCAAATAAGTCATTTAATTTGAATGATTTTCTTTGTCTTTTTTTTTTTCTGTAAAAAGCACCAAATTTTTATTTTAATTTAAACTTGGCGCCCTTGTCGTGCAAATAAATTTTTACATAAAAAAATAGTAATAAAAATTATTTTATGAGAGAAAATTTTATCATTTTTCGTTTTTGCATAAAATAATTTTTTCAAAGTTAAAATTTTTCCAAAGTCAAAAGTTTCAAAGTTAAAAGTGTGAAAAGGAGGAAGAAAAAAAATGAAAATTTTTGTGGAAGAAATTTTTGATGGAATTTCTTAAATATATGAATATATCCATTTTTTTTTTCTTTCATTCTTTACTTTCCTTTTTTTTTTTTTGAAACACGATGAGGAATTGTTTAAATTGAAATTTTAGGAATCACTTCAATAGCTAAAAGCATAATATTGATGCAAAAATATGCATATTCCCTTGAGTTTTTGTAATAATCAAGTTTAACATAAAATTGCTGACAATTTTAGGTGACAAGCAACAAATTTTTATTTTCCTTTTTTTTATTTTTTTCATTTGTTACATATGAAAATGGAAAATATTTCTGATTTATTCATAAATTACAACATGAAATTAATTCTAGTTTGTTTTTTTTTTTTTAGAATAATTTACATTTAATAGCATTCACGATTTAAAATTTTATTCATATTTGCATATATTTATGTGTAGATGTTATTACAACAATAAATTGTTGCTAATTGTAATTAACTTAATTATGTAATGATGTAATAATAAAATGATAAAAATTTAAATGTTCTATTTGACAATTTTTGTAATACAATAATTTTGGTTCCCTCATTTAAAAGATGTAAAAATTAAATTTAAACAATTTACTTTTCGCCTCTTTCCCTCCGTAATTTCAGCTTATTTCCTTAATTGATTTCAAAAATTTTATTCTTTTTTTTTCGCTTAATTCTTGCCTTCTTTTTTTTCGTAAAATTTAATGCTTCTATCTTTATTATATACAAATATATATGCATATGTATGTTACATTTTCACTTTTTTTTTTTTT